CCCCCCCCCCCCCCCTGCCCGCTGCCACCCCCCCCCGGCCGGCCTGGGCTGCCCTGGCCAGCCCCACGCTCTCCGCCGCTTCCGCCCCTGACCAGCTGGTCCGGCCGCCTTTTAAACGCGGTGGGCAGACTCGGGCGCACACGCTGCACCGCCGGGGGAGCGAGCCGGCTCCTGCTCTCCTCCCCCCGCTGCCGGGGTCGTCTGCGGGCGCACCCAGGGACGGGGGCACCCCATCACAGTAGCCGAAGCTACAGTATGTTTATACCCGGCGTATAAGACGATCCCCGATTTTTGGGGGATGTTTTTTAGTATAAAAAGTCATCTTATACGCCGGAAAATACGGTAGACCTGTCCTATTCCTAGCCATAGATAAGGAGCACTGTCCTTCCTACTTCAAAAGACAGTACTCGTATTGGAAACTAGAGTGAATATTAGTAATGAGCAACATCTGGTCTGTTGAGAAGCAGGGCATGACCTTCATTTTTTCAAACAGTAAGCTTTTTAATGTAAAATGTTCCATTTGAAACAATTGGCTAATATAAACTCTCTTTTTTTTTAAGTTTGAAATGTACATAATTCTTATTTCTTGTTTTTAGTTGGTGAATTTAATATCCTGTGAAATGTATAGTTAGTCTAGTAAGTATAATAAGAATTTCTGTTATGTTCGCTTCCTGAGTTTAAGAGAAACATTTTTCTTTTAGCACTACATTGGACCACGGTACTGCAAAACAAAAATGTGGATTCCCTCAGTGTGGTTTCAGAATCTCCTCAAAAGTTCATTTTACGCATGAAACAGAAAGTGCAGACGCAGCTACAAGGTATGTTTTGTGGCAGTGCTGGGAATGGTTCTTAAAACAGTGGCTGGCTGTTTGTATTTCTATGTTCGTGGAATACACTTATGCTACTATGAATCCATCAGGATCCAAGCCATTTGTTCATTATATTGAAAGAGCCCCAGAGTGGCAGGAGGGAAGAATGCTGACTGCTTTTCTAGTCTCTGCGGCAGCTGTGAGACTTGAGGTGGTATCCAGGTACCAGTTCATTATACTCAATATTTCGTTTATTAGCAAGAGTGTTATAGTGAGTGAGTATTGTTGCTGTTAGTTACAGTACAGTAAGTATTAGGGATGTTAAAAAGTGGTTAATTAGGTAACTGTGTAACATCTGAACATCTCAGTGTTACCTGGTTATGTGCTGCACACACTGCAGTATAAGGCTCCTAGCTGCTGGTGCCGCTCCCAGGGGAGCCTGCTACACGGTAGGCTCTGCGGTAGAGGTTTTATACTGCAAAGCCTGCAGCATCTGATAGCAGCCAGCTCCCCAGTAGCTCGTGTATGCTGGAAGCTAGCTTTTAAGCCAGCTCCTGGTGCCTACCTGCTCCCGGGGAGCTGTCAGCCACCCCGTGTGGCTGCCAACTCTCCAGGAGCGGGACCAGAAACCTGCATATAACTGCTATGGTAACCAATAAGCTCATATTTTTCAGTTAACTGTTTAAACAGTTATACTTTCACATCTCTAGTATTTCCTCTTCCCTTCCCATCAATGCCTGGTGGAAAATGCTGAAAATGGGAGAGGAGATGTAGGTAAAGAATGCTGGTACTTTGCTTACTATTACTTGCCCTCATCTGCCCCCCATTCCTCTCCCCAAGAATTTGCAGACCCCCCCTATTAAAATAAGTATCCACTGACTGGACATTTGTCTAGTTTTGTTTCAGTTCTTCATTTATCTTGTCTCTTATAAAATAACTGCTTATGACATCTGATTCCAGTGGAGCTTGATACGATCCAATAAAGTTCCACGCAGCATATTGAAATGCCTAACGTAGGGAATGCTAGTGGAAATGGGCTAGGTTTAGAAGTTAAAATAGGAAAAGAATAAGATAAAAATTTCTTAGAAAAGTTATGTCTTCGAGTCACCAGGGCCCAGTGAAGTGCATCCTAGAATACTAAAGAAGCTGATAGTCATTCTTCCGTTGTACTCTGCACTGACCAGGCCTCAGTTGGAGTATTGTGTCCAGTTCTGGGCACCACATTTCAAGAACGATGTGGAGAAATTGGAAAAGGTCCAGAGATGTGCAACAAGAATGATTAAAGGTCTAGAGCAGGGGTGGCCAGCCTCTCACTCCAGAGCCACATGCGGCTCTTCAGAAGTTAATATGCGGCTCCTTGCTTAGGTACCAAATCCAGGGCTAGAGCTACAGGTGCCAACTTTCCACTGGGCTGGAGGGTGCTCACTGTTCAACACCCCAGCTCTACTCTAGGCACTGTCTCCCTCCACGCTTTCCCCCTAGGATCCTGTCACTTCCTACCCTCTCTACTGAGCCTGTCACACCCATGCTTCCCCCTCCAGTGTCTCCTACTGAAAAAGAGCTGATCACAGTAGGCAGGAGGAAAAGGAAAAGGAGGCACTTACCAGTGGGGCTGCCACTGGGTGGGATGTGCTGAGAGGAGTGGTGGGGAGATGATCAGGGCTGGTGACATAGAACTGCTGCTCTTTGACAATGTGCATTGGTAAATTGTGGATCCTTCTCAGGTTTAGGTTAGCCACCACTGGTCTAGGAAACATGACCTATGAAGGAAGACTGAAAGAATTGGGCTTGTTTAGTTTGGAAAGGAGAAGTCTGAGAGGGGACGTGATAGCGGTTTTCAGGTATCTAAAAGGGTGTCACAAGGAGGAGGGAGAAAATTGTTCTCCTTGGCCTTTGATGATAGGACAAGAAGCAATGGGCTTAAATTGCAGGAAGGGAGGTTTAGGTTGGACAGTAGGAAAAACTTCCTAATTGTCAGGGTGGTGAAACACTGGAATAAATTGCTTTGGGCAGCCAGAGGCTGGCCACCCCTGCTTTAGACCTTTAATCATTCTTGTTGCTCATCTCTGGACCTTCTCCAATTTCTCCACATCTTTCTTGAAATGTGGTGCCCTGAACTGGACACAGAAAGGAGTAAGCAGTGAGGTGGTAAAGTTTGCTAATGATACTAACCTGTTTAAGATAGTCAAGACAGAAGCAGACTGCAGAACTTCAAAAAGATCTCACCAAACTGAGTGACTGGGCAACAAAATGGCAAATGAAATTTGATGTGGATTAGTGTAAAGTAATGCACATCGGGAAAAATAACCCCAACTATACGTACAGTATGTGGGGGCTAATCTGGCTATGATAAATCAGGAAAGAGATCTTGGAGTTATCGTGGACAGTTCTCTGAAAACTTCCACACAGTGTGCAGCGGCGGTCAAAAAGGCAAAGAGGATGTTAGGAATTATTAAGAAAGGGATAGAAAATAAGAGACAGAATATCTTACTGTTCCTGTATAAAACTATGGTATGTCCACATCTTGAATACTGTGTACAGGTGTGGTCTCCTCACCTCAAAAAAGATATTTTGGCTAAAATTATTAGAGGTTTGGAACGAGTCCCATATGAAGAGAGGCTAAAGCGAATGGGACTTTTCAGTTTAGAAAAGAGGAGACTGAGGGGGGATATGATCGAGGTCTATAAAATCATGAGTGGTGTGGAGAGGGTGAATAAAGAAAAGTTATTTATTAGTTCCCATAATAGAAGAACTAGAGGACACCAAATGAAATTAATGGGTAGCAGATTTAAAACTAATAAAAGAAAGTTCTTCTTCACACGGCGTGTAGTCAACCTGTGGAACTCCTTGCCAGAGGCGGCTGTGAAGGCTAGGACTATAACAGAGTTTAAAGAGAAGCTAGATAATTTCCTGGAGGTTAGGTCCATAAAAGGCTATTAGCCAGGGGATAGAAATGGTGTCCCTGGCCTCTGTTTGTCAGAGGCTGGAGAAGGATGGCAGGAGACAAATCGCTTGATCATTGTCTTCGGTCCACCCTCTCTGGGGCACCTGGTGTTGGCGACTGTCGGCAGACAGGCTACTAGGCTAGATGGACCTTTGGTCTGACCCAGTACGGCCATTCTTATGTTCTTATGAGATATTGAAGAGCAGGTTAGACAGACATCTATTAGGGATGGTCTAGATGGTACTGGGTCCTGCCATGACGGCAGGGGACTGGACCTGATGACCTCTCGAGGTCCCTTCTCATTCAAGTATTCCATGATTCTATATTGCCTGCTTGGACAAAGAGTGTATCATATTGTGGTATATCTATACTCACGATTTGGTTAGTATCTTGGTTAGGGATATTAAGGACTAGTCAACTATTCGAAAAGGAAATGCTTTAGGGATAGTCGACTAGTTGCTATCAGATAGAGGCAGCAAAAGCGGCGAGAAAAGGGTGGAATTTCTGCCACAGAGTTTCAAAGGGGCAGTGCTGCATGGAGTCCGGGGGCAGCTGGGGACTCCCCAGCTGACCCCAGGCTCTGTGTGGTGCTGCCACTTTGAAAAGCCACAGTGGTGTTTCAAAGGAGAAGCACCACCCTATCAACTAATCTAATAGTTGATGCAAAAATGCATCGACTATTTGATTAGTCAATTACACAATACTTAACATCCTTAATCTTGGTAATATTCAGTCTATATTGCATACAGCATATTAGCTTTCTCTTTTTACTTTCATGACTCCTGTTTAATACCTGTTGTTGCAGCTTCATTTTCCTCCATGTCCAACATTTGGGGTAAAATAATTAGGTTTTTATATGCAAATATCCAACATGCAGTAGACAACAGAATTATGGATTATTTTTTATTGTGTGTGAGATCTTTTATTTGGAATGATAAAATTCGTGTAGGTGGAGTACATCTATGGATGCTTCTTTGGATGTTTCTTGCTCTGCCATTCTGTCTACTTGATGAGACTTAAACATCTCATTGAAGCTAGCCCAGACCGTTCCCTCCCTCCCCCCCAAACTTCTTCCTAGCAGTACTAGGTATAAACTTCCATCCATGTTTCACCAAATTCTGTCTCTGTGTGGGCCAGATGGGTGTGGTAATTTTTCTCACTGGACTAACTGCTGTTGAGAATGAGAACTTTTTATGCCACACAGAACTTTTCTTCGGGCCTATGTAGGCATACAGAGAAGTTCTTGGAGGTTCTCTCTGCAAATTTCAGACTTCTGTATTCATTGCTACCTGCTTAGGTGCTGTTTGGTAAGGAGTGGGATAGCAGGTCTGGAAGGTTGAAGTGGCCTTTAGCATCAGAAGTCTCACCAGGAGCTCATGCCTGGGTTAACGCCACCATGCAATACATGAGATTAAAAAGGCTGCTTACACCTAATAGTAGCTGTGGAGTTGCTGGTCTTAGGGTGTATGGAAAAATTGCCCCAACGGATGGGGGGGAAGGGAGAGAAGCTGTAATTTCTACTTTAGATTCCTTGAAATAGAAGCATCGAATCAGATTTCTGGTTTTGTTAATGTAGGTTTGCTTTTCTTTAAATAACATGAGTTGCTTTGCCTGAATTTATCTTTTTTTGTTTGTTTAAATTTGTCAGGTCCTGCAATGTCAAACCAAATCGAGCAAAGTATTTCTTCAAGAATCGCAAACAGTCCATTAATCAAATCTGATTTTGCCAAACAAGTCAATAATTTTAATGGAGAGTCTACAGTAAACAATATCAGCAGAAGTCAGGATGACATTTTTCTTGTTGAACCGATTGACGCTGATGATGAAATGTCTCAAAATACCGTGGTCGATACTGTAAACAGAAACCCTAACCCTTCTAAAACTAGGGTTCAGTTATCAGAAAGGCATGGAAGTGGAGAAACAATATATGCTAGTCCTCATCGAGAAGGAGGACCCTTACAAAAGAGTGACTGGAAAACAGCCCAAGCCATAGAGAAGATATCGGACACTGACCCTCAGAGGCCCACACAGTGCCTGTGTAATATTATGTTTTCTTCTCCAAAAGTCCACATACCACGAAAGCAAAAACCAAAAGAAGGCGATTGTAAGGTCCTGTCAAGTACATCAGCAGATAAAAATGATGGCAATACACATAAACAGGTGGGAGAGTTATTTCCTTTGTGGAAGGATTTTATATTGAAAAATTCCTTCAGATTTTCTCTGACAGTGATATTTGTTTAGTGTTTTTGTCATATAGCAAGAAACAAGTATAAATACCTATCCTGTGGAATTAATGAACTTCATTTGTGCCCTCCTTTGGAAAACTTGCAGGCTGTCATAGTAACCATTTAATCAGAGGCTAGACCTGATGTGATTCTGTTTTGGTTGATCAGACTTGTTTATGCTTGAAAATGGTGGTAGAAAGAAACAGAAATAACACTTTACCTTTTTTAAAAACAAATCTTTAAACCAAAATTAGTATTTCATAGACTTATAGAACAATAAAGCTGGAAGAGACCTCAGAAGGTCATCAAGTCCAGCCCCCTGCTCTAGGCAGGACCAATCCCAACTAAATCAACCTGGCCAGGGCTTTGTCAAGCCGAGACTTAAACACCTCTAGGGATGGAGACTCCACTACTTCCCTAGGGAACCCATTCCAGTCCTTCACTACCCTCCTAGTGAAATAGTTTTTCCTAATATCCAACCTGGACCTCTCCCACCACAACTTGAGACCATTGCTCCTTGTTCTGCCATCTGTCACTACTGAGAACAGCCTCTCTCTAGCCTCTTTGGAACCTCCCTTCAGGAAGTTGAAGGCTGCTATCAAATCCCCCTCACTCTTCGCTTCTGCAGACTAAACAGACCCAACTCCCTCAGCCTCTCCTCATAAGTCATATGCTCCAGCCCCGAAATCATTTTGGTTGCCCTCCGCTGGACCCTCTCCAATGCGTCCACATCCTTTTTGTAGTGGGGGGCCCAGAACGGGACACAATACTCCAGATGTGGCCTCACCAGAGCCGAATAAAGGGGAATAATGACATCTCTGGATCTGCTGGCAGTGCTCCTCTTAATGCAGCCTAATATGCCATTAGCCTTCTTGGCTACAAGGGACACTGTTGACTCATCTCTAGCTTCTCATCCACTGGAACCCCCAGGTCCTTTTTTGCAGAACTACTACTTAATTGGTTGGTCCCCAACTTGTAACAATACTTGGGATTCTTCCGTCCCAAGTGCAGGACTCTGCACTTGTCCTTGTTGAACCTCATCAGATTTCTTGTGGCCCAATCCTCCAATTTGTCTAAGTCACTCTGGACCCTATCGCTGCCCTCAAGCGTATCTACCTCTCCCCCTAGCTTAGTGTCATCCGCAAACTTGCTGAGGGTGCAATCCATCCTCTCATCCAGGTCATTAATAAAGATATTGAACAAAACCGGTCCTAGAACTGAACCTTGGTGCACTCCTTTAGAAACCGACCGCCATCCTGACACCGAGCCGTTGATCACTACCCGCTGGGCCCGGCCCAGCTTGCTTTATTTTCATATTTATTAATATTCAACAATAGAACGTTGTAATTGAATGGAGAGAAAATTCTTGAGAGAGATGACTGGTAGACACTAGAGGTAAGAGGTCCGGGGCAGATAATATTACAGTCTTTTGCTGCCTTTGTGCCCAAAGGAATCAATCCCATGTGGAACTTTGAGCCCACAGGTCTCTGGTAGTGGATGTGATTCAAAGGTTATGTTCAGTCTAACATTCTAAAAGGAAAAACCCCCTAAATCAGGGTGGGCAAAAGCTTCTCATTGGACTGGATCCGGCCCATCTATGGCTTGGATCCGGCCCGCGAGGCAGTCCCGCGCCTCGCCCCCAGTGCAGGGGTTGGCTGCCTACAGCATGCGTGCCGCTTACAGCATACAAGCTGATTTTCAGCAGCATGGGGCAGGGACCTCAGCCCCGCCCCTCCTCCCTCGCAGAGCCGCTGGCATGAGGCGATCCAGGGCCAGCCTTGGAGGCACTGCTGCTGTGGCCATGTGGTTCGGGACTGTAGCAGTGGTGCCTCCTGGGTCGGCCCAGGACCATGTGGATTGCAGCTTTGGGGCTTCTGGGGCGGCCCCGGCCTGTCAATAGCAACGGTGGGGTCAGTCCCAGACCACGTGGGTCCTGGCAGCAGGGCCTCCCTCTGGGATGGCCGGGACAGTGTGGCTGTGCTGGCTGTTGCAAGGGGGTATGGAACCAGGCAAGGTCCCCCCTCATGCCCATACCGCCTCCACCCCAACCCTTCCCCCCCACTTTCCTCTCCCCTCCAAGACCTGGCACCCCTAGCTTGCTCCAACACCCTCCCTTGTTCCTGCATCCTCTCCTGGCCAGACACCTCACCCTGTTCCTTCATCCACATTGCTCCTGCACCCTCTATCCTGGCCACACACTGCACCCTACCTTGTTCCTGATCCTTCCACCAGGCCAGGCACCCTACTCCCAGCCTTCTTCTGTACCCTAATTCCCTCCCAGATCCTGCACCCATCCCTTTCCTACTTGCTGGCAGCCCTGTCTCGTGGCACCTCATTTTTGTCCCTCCCCCAGAGCCTAAGGAAATCCATAAAATCCTCTAACTCTAGAACCCCAGAAAAGTAAATCTGGTCTATAGGAAGCCCTGAACCTCCGTCCCCCCGTTCCCCTCCCCTCCTCTCACCCCGTGAGGCTGGGGCATCTGTGGAGTGAGGTGTCTCAGTTGGGGCCACATCAGTGAGCATTGGGGGTTTTTGGAGGAGTTTTTTTCTTTTGCTTCTCACTTATGTGGTCCCCAACTAATTTTTCTGTGGGTCAGTAACCCTCCCCCAACCCAAAAAAGGTTCCCCTCCCCTGCCATAAAGAAAACGTTGAAACCTTTTGTGTTGGACATAATATTTAATTTATTTAAAATGAAGTTTGATAAACCAACGTGAGGAAGTTAAAATGCTTCATCTGTTTTGTAGTATAAATTAAACTGTTCTCACTACCTTCAGCTGGTTCAGAAAATAAGGTCTCATCGTACCCAGCCTGCCCTTGCCTCCCCTCTCCCTCCATCCCCCGCACACTGATCTGTGAATAAGTTAAATCTCAGTACGCCACTTCTGAAAGGTTGCCGACCCCTGCACTAAAAGGTAAAACCTGCATCTTTCTTTATTAATGAAACTGCTGTAAGTAGGACTATTAGTAACTTTAAAAAGTATCACTGGCACTCGGACCCTACATAGAGGTGAAGAAGTGAGATCTCTGCTCTCTGCCTCTGAAAGGTTGCTGACCCCTGCCCTAGCGCATTGCCTGGGAGCTAGAGACACGCATTCCCTTTCAACTGCTTCTATTTAAAGGGCACTTGCTGAGTGGCTGCATTGCCTGGAAGCCACCCAGCAGGCACAAGCCCTTTAAACAGAAGCAGTTGAAAGGGCTTGCAGCTCTTGGTCCCACTGGCCTGTTGCCTGGGAGCTGCCCGGGAGGCACGAGCCCTTTCAACTGCTACTATTCAAAGGGCTTGTGCTTGCCGGGTGGCTGCCAGCCAAAAGGTTAGGAGCGGGGCCAGGAGCTGCCAGCCATGTTATGTGAATTCTAAGCCTCCACCCCAGACAACTCTGGGAGGACACTCGCCCCCAGCACCTTCCCATCTGTTCCAGGTCCCTTCCATTAGCCAGAAGTCAGGTGGCAGGGACCCCTGGTCAAGCAAAGCTCCTGGCAGCGTAGTTCTCAACCCCACCCCTTCTGCGCGCGGCTCCGCCCCTTCCGGGTCAGCCCGCGGCCACTTCCGAAATTTGTGAAGTGGCTCTCCTTCAAAAATTATTGCCCAGCCCTGCCCTAAATCCATTATATAAAGCAAGGAGGAAAGGGAATGATAAAGAAAAGGTGTGTACTTAATGTAAGTGTTAGAGGAATTTTTAAAACCGTTTTAATACAACGATATAAAACTCCCCAAATCCTGTCTCTACACAGGTGTGAAATGTTCAATATAAAATTACTAGGCCAATCTCCAAAAGTGATAACTTACTTCAAGGTCTGCCTTTAATAGACTATCAAGCCCATTGTCTGCATCTGAGGCATGCACTGAGAGTTTACTGATCTCTGTGCTGTGGGTTTTGAATACAATATAATCAGTAAATACAACTGGAATCCCTTTTACTCTTTCATGTGTCAGGTATTGGATTTCTCCCAATAATAAGGGATTACAGGTGTGGGATGAGGGGGAAGACTTGTGTTGGAAACTTTAGAGTTTGCAAATTGTAACTTTCTAGAAGCTTTAAAACTAATAAAAGAAAGTTCTTCACACAGCGTGTAGTCAACCTGTGGAACTCCTTGCCAGAGGAGGCTGTGAAGGCTAGGACTATAACAGAGTTTAAAGAGAAGCTAGATCATTTCATGGAGGTTAGGTCCATAAAAGGCTATTAGCCAGGGGATAGAAATGGTGTCCCTGGCCTCTGTTTGTCAGAGGCTGGAGAAGGATGGCAGGAGACAAATCGCTTGATCATTGTCTTTGGTCCTCCCTTTCTGGGGCATCTGGTGCTGGCCACTGTCGGCAGACAGGCAACTGGGCTAGATGAACCTTTGGTCTGACCTAGTATGGCCGTTCTTATGGAAACTTCCTTAACTTTTTTTTTTTTTTTAATGTTTGGATTTTTCAACTTTCGTTCCCAAATTTCTGTCAAATGTGTTCATATTTTTCAATTGCTTAATGTTTGAGGCATCTGTTTTCAACATTTCCTCCACCCACATTAGAAATAGTAAATGTGTCTCATGGCCACTTACCATCTCTCTGAAGTATTCAGTTTGCAAATTCAACGTTAATATGTGTAGAAATTATTGATTTTAAACAGTTTAAAACATTTGTTTTCTTTAAAACCATATACTGGTTAAATGGTATTTAGTTTGCTTTTTAATTGCTATATAATTGTCATATTTAAATTTACCTTCACTGTACTCTGTTTTTCTTTAACCTGCAGCAAAAAATCTGCCTAAGTGATTGGAGGATTAAGGTCATCAACAACAATACTGCGGTGTGTGTGGAAGGAAAACGAATGTAAGTAGCTATTTTCCTTCATCACTGTTGCACATACAGGCAGTCCCTGAGTTATGTGGATCCGACTTATGTTGGATCCGCAGTTACGAACGGGGTTTTTCTCGCCCTGGAGGACGGGAGCAGCGGGACGCCCAGATGCGCCGCAGTCCCGCCGCCCGTGTCCTCTGGGGCGAGAAAAGCTGCTCCGCGTCTCCCTGGTCTTCTGGGGGGGGAACTCCCCCCCAGAAGACCAGGGAGACGCTGAGCAAAGCCGTGGAGCACGCGGGCAGCGGGACAGCCCAAACGCGCCGCGGCTGTCTTTGCTCCCCGTCTCCCTGGTCTGCTGTCTCCAGCAGACCAGGGAGACGCGGAGCAAAGCCGTGGAGCACGCGGGCAGCGGGACAGCCCAAACGCGCCGCGGCTGTCTTTGCTCCCCGTCTCCCTGGTCTGCTGTCTCCAGCAGACCAGGGAGACGCGGAGCAAAGCCACGGAGGACCTGGGCAGTGGGACCACGGTGCGTCTCGGTCCACCGCCCGCGTCTCCCTAGTCTGGGGGGGGACGCAGCTAGTGCGCCCCCTCGTCCCCCCAGCAGACCAGGCTTTTCCCCAGATGCCTGTGGTAGAGCAGCTGGGGTGCTGCCGGTTGGTTCCGCAGCGCCGCTCTGGGCGCTACTGGACCAACCCGGCAGCACCCAAGCTGCTCTGCCCCAGGCATCAGCTGCTGCTGAAACTGACCAGCGCTGACTACAGGAAGCCCGAGGCAGAGTAACTCTGCCTTGAGCTTCCTGTAGTCAGCGCTGGTCAGTTTCAGCAGCGGCTGAATCTGGACGCCAGTTTCGACTTACATACAGATTCAACTTAAGAACAAACCTACAGTCCCTATCTTGTACGTAACCCGGGGACTGCCTGTATCTGTGATACAAACATGAAAATAAAAAATGAAATTTATATCTGGACTGCAAAAATATGCACCATCCTGGCATCTCCATTTGGGACTACTGAGAGTGCATCTACAAAGGATAATGTGCAGTGCTTGGAAGCACCAAATATTAGTCTTCCTCAGTTTAACCATTAACGTATGGCTGTAACTGCTGTTAACCATGGCACCTCGCTAGCAGGTGCCTCCATCCACTTATCAAAGGCAATTTGAGGAATGGACCCAGGCTCTTTAGTGTAAGAAAGCCATGTGCACAGCTGGGGAGAAGCTAGCCCAGCAAAAAACAAGTATAGTCTCCTTGTTCCACTGTATGGAGGAAAGGGAGCACATCAGCAGCATAACTCAAAGGTTTCAAGAACTAGCTGTCCACTCATCATAGAATTATAGGCTTATTGTCCAAACTAAACTGCCCTTGCTGAAATGTAAGCCCATCGCTGCTTGTCCTATCCTTCTTGTAACAACCTTTTATTTACTTGAAAATTGTCATCATGTGCCTCTCAATCTTCTTTTCTCTACACTAAACAAACCAAATTTTTAAAAAACAATCTTTCTATCACAAGTCATGTTATTTAGACCTTTAAGCATTTTTGTTGCTTTGTTCTGGACTTTCTCCAGTTTGTCCACATTTTTTCTGAAATGCGGCACTCAAAACTGAACACACTACTCCAGCTCATGCCTTATCAGATGTGGAGTAGAGTGGAAGAATTAATTTTCTCATCTGGCTTACAACACTCATGTTGATTCATCCCAGAATGGCGCTAGCTTTTTTTTTGCAATGGTGTTACACTGTTGATCATTATTTAGCTTGTGATTAGCTATTAACCCTAGATCAGTTTCCATGATACTCCTCCTTAGGCAGTCATTTCTATTTTGTATGTGTGCAACTAATTGTTCCTAAATGGAGTTCTTTGCATTTGCCCATATTGAATTTTATCCTGTTTACTTCAGACCATTTCTTCAGTTTCTCCAGATCATTATGAATTTTAATGCTATCTTCCAAAGCACTTGCTGCCCCTCCCAGCTAGGTATCATTTGCAAACTCTATGCTGTTATCAAAATTATTAATGAAGATACTGAATAGAACCAGACCAGAACTGATCCCTGCAGGACCTTGCTTGATATTCCCTTCCAGTTTGACTGTGCATCAATATATTGATTCAGGGTGATTATGAAAGCAATTACTAGCAGCCCTCTCTTGTGTCCTTAGTACCTACAATCTGTCCAGGTTGTCTACATGTGAGGTTTCATGTTCTTTATCTTTTAGCCTATCTTACATAGCTGTGGGTTTCCTTGTAAACATCCAGTCCATTTTTGTACTCCTGTGCTCTTGGATTCAGAGATGTTTTTCAGCAGATTGATGTATATATTTTTAATACCTCAGACAACCTACAAGGAAAGGTTTTGATCACTCTGTTGCCATGTAATTTCATTGTATGTGGCCTTATTCTTGAATTATGAGTGTGTAAATGAGAATACCGTACTTAACTTCCATACCCATCTCTATTGTCTCCAGTTTTAATTTTTAAAATTTTTCCTTATACAAAAAAATGTTTCTAATCACTCTGTTTCATGTTTTGAGACCTTTTTATTTTTCTGTATCTTTTTAAATGACCCAGGTACCATTATTTTAAATCTTGGCATTTTTAGTAGTTTCCAACCCCATTTTTATACTTCATAGCAATTTGTTTGCTTTTTTGGGAGGAATTGAGCAGATGTTTTTGTGAACAACTGTTCAGAATGGCATCCAAGTTCTTTTTCTCCTGAGTGGTTACCATTAACTTAGAACAATAATGTAGCTGACTAGCTTATCTTACTCATTCTCCTGTTTATCACCATGTATTTGTCAATACTAAATTTCTTCCTCCATTGTGCTCCTAATCCATTTAATGTTGTTAGGTCCCTCCGGAGTTTCTCAGTCTTTCCTAATTTTGACTATGCTAAATAAGGGCTTGGAAGGCCTCTATTTATGTCAGTGGGAGTTGGGCCATAATTTGGTATCCTGAAACTTCTATTCAGTCCCTTTTCTATCTCATTAATGAAAATATTAAACGTCAGATTCTGATTAAACAGAATCTTGGTTTTCTCATTCAAACGTGGAACCCCACCATGAATTATTTTCTCTAAAGAAAGTGGACAACTTATTTTCATTTATTCTGTCTCCAGAGATATGAAAGAACTGTGCTGGCATAGCAATGCAATTGTGGAACGTGTGGCGTACAACCAAGTTAAAACAATATCTGGCAGCATCTACTTATTACAAGGCAATATAGAGCCTGTTTCCATGAGAAAAGATGGTAAGGAAACTCATTTTAAATGCAAAATGTCTGATTATTTATAAGAGAAATGAAGGCAGAGTTACCATTTTTCTGTAAAATACAAAGGGTAGGTTACTTTAAAGGTGAATTGCAAACAAGCGTACTGCATTAACTTCAGCAATATATTCTGCATGTGCCTGCCAGATGGACTCAGTGGGATATTCAGCACATACCGTAAAACTGATTTCTGCCCTCAGCTTTTTAGATCCTTTGCTGTTCATCCCTTCTGACATCTGCTCCATTGTGATGTTGCAGCCACTATGATATGCAGCTTGGAGCATGGAACTACCCAATAGGTATGTCAGACAGATTCTCTTTTTTTAGTATAAATTGCCTGATTTTGGGAAAAAAATCCCTTTTTTATAATTTGGAAGTGTGGGGGTTTTTTTGGCTGTTTTATGTGTTACGTGGCTCATAAGACCTTATTGATGAAGAAATTCTATGAATATTGCTGAAGATAAAGTATGAAACTACATTATTTGCAGTTCATCTTTAAACGATTAGTTACTAGATTAGTAAAGCTTCAGAGGGGTAGCTGAGTTAGTTTCTTTACTGGAAAAAATAAAAGAAAAACTTGAAGTGGGTTGTACCCACGAAAGTTTATGATGCCATCTGCATGTTTTGTTAGTCTTTAAGGTGCTGCAAGACTTTTTTTTTTTTAAGGTTTTCTAGATGAGTAAAGTAGCACAAAATATTACTTTAAAAATAATCCTAGTAAACCAAACTCTTTCATGAATGTACCTTTTAGGGATGTCAATGATTAAATGGTTATGGGGCAATGCCAGGGATGTTGATGTGTGGTCGATTATATAATTAATCATTAAGACGATGCTCATTGGTTAATCTTGTCAACTACATACATTTCTTGCCCTCCCCTGCTTGCTGCCTCTGTATCGGAGGCAGCAAGGGCAGGGAGAAGCAAGAGTAGGCTTAAAAGCCATTTCTCCCTCAGGACCGGCTCCACAGTTCCGCCTGCTCCCTTACCCCCAGCCTGCTGCTTCTATTAAAAATGAGGTTTAAGGGTTATTTCAAAAGAAGGGGTTTTTCTTTCGAAATAGGGTATTTCAAAAAAGTGCCCAGATGCAATTATGCAAATGAAGTGCGGGAAATTCAAATCTGTGCTTCATTTGCAATTTCGCTCACCTGCATTTGCATTTCTCTGGAAGGAGGAATGCAGTATAGACATACCCTTAGAGGCCACAGCGTGGGCAGGAGGCAGGCAGAGGAATCTGTGGCAAAGCAGCCTCTGTCCATGAAGCAACAGGCCCGCCATGAACAGAGACTGGTCCCTGGCAGTAGCCCCTGTCCTCAGAGGGTCCGAGCTCCCCGTAGACAGAGGCTGGCCCGCCCCTGGGGACTATAAAATAGTTGAGTAACCAATAAGAATTCATGTGGTTACTCGATTATTCAGTTACCTGATATCGAACATCCCTAGGCAATGCTTACTGGTTTTCAGTTAACTAGTGGCCCTGCTGGGCTGGAGTAGCCCCCAGCCTGGCTAGATCAGCCCACCACTGGCCTGGCCAGAGCAGCCTGCCCCTATTTAAGTGGCTAACCAGTTAAACATTACCTTTAACTGATTAAATGGGATTTTACATCCCTAGTACAGTAAAACTCCAATAGTCTGGCACCCAGTTGTCCAGCACTCCCGATAGTCCGGCAGCAAAATGGCAAGCGCTCTTGATGGAACCGAGACGGAACCCGGAACCGCTCAGCTACTCGAACGTGGGTTACAGCAGGGAGGAGAAGTGTTTGGCTCCGAGGAGGGTGAGGGGGATTGGGTTACGCATGGCGACCCGGCCAGCTGATTGAAAAGCCATGCGGCTGTACCGAGACCCAAGCATAAGGTTGGGGGGGAGGAGGAGTGGCTTCGGGTTACAGCAGAGGGGAGAAGTGTTTTGGCTCCAGGGAAGGGGAAGGGGAGGGGGAGGAGGATTGGGTTACACAGGGCATTCAGTCCAGATGATCGAAAAGCTGGCCGCTCAGCGCACGTGCGTCTGTACCAGCGGCTCCAGGACCCAAGCATAAGGTTGGGCGGGGATTGGGTTGGGAGTATGCAGTACCTCCTGATACTCCGGCATATCCGATAATCTGGCACCACCTAGGTCACAAAGGTGCCGGATTATCGGAAGTCTACTGTACCTTCATAGTTTGATGTAGTAAATGGTTATTGTTCATATCAGTGGGAATGTGGTAAACCCCATAGAATTTTCCTTTTCAGATTCAGTTTTTTTACATGAGATTTTTATAGAAATTCAATGAACACCTGAACATATTTGTTTATTTCCTTTACCTTTTTCTCCGAGAGTAATACCCATTCTTGAAAGCCTTCTCTATCAAAATCCTCACTCTTAAAATATGTATACATCAGGGATGCTAGTGCATAGCCATTCACACTCTTAACTGATAAGACTTGGGCTTGTCCATTAATCCAAATTAAGACACACACCCCCCTTTGCTACCTCTGATACAGAGGCAGCAAAGGGGGAGAAGGCGGGAGCTGGTGCCCGTGGGGTTCCAGCTTTTAAGCCAGCTCCCTGTGTGTGCTAGTTCCCATGGAACCACAGAGGCAGCAGTGCAGGCGGAAGGGGAGGCAGGGTGTCAGCCGACGGTCAGGGCAGTGAGTTCCTTATGACCGGCTGAAGTTCTTTTTAAATTGTGCTTGGTTCTGTTACAGCAACTGAAGGAGTCAGGTTAAAGCTTAAACAGTTACTATTTTATTGTTACAGGGTAAACTTAGCTGTTAAATGCTACTACTGTGTTACAGATAACACAGACACTACAAAGGACAGGACAGAAATTACACTAATAAGTCACTTACAGGTACCATGAAACCCTTTGGTTCTCTGAGCTCTTATTAAATGCATGCAAAATAGACACATAGCAGGTATATATTCTCACCCCTGCGTTCCAGACTTGGCGTGGCCAGCGTCTTTCTCTCAATCCCTCGGGAAGAAGTAGGGCGAGGTTGGGCGTCCCACAGACCTCGGGAGACAATCAATACCTGCCAGCAGGTATAGATGATTGGAGCTCAAATGGGGTGGGCGGCTGAACCTCTTTTTATACCCCTTGGGTCATGTAGGCTTCTTCCTGGGCTCAAGTGGCCATTAAGGAAAAATGGCTTTGAATGCCAAGTTTCCCACGAAGGGTGCAAAGCATAATTTACACCTGGGAAAAATGCAGACAATGGGCACCTCTGGTATGTGATGGGCGAAGATTCCTCTCCTGGGACAGTGCAGGCGTGTCAATTACTGGTACTAGCCATCAGGGCGACGGGAGGCCCCGGGTCGTCAGCTAGCCCATTTACTGTCTGGTTTCTGTTTATGGTAGAGTCAGGGACAGGCACCACACCTGCGTTCCCAGGGCATCAAAGGCTGACTGCCTTTCTCTTGCTCTCTGGGTGGGGGGGGAACAAGATGGGGTTTGTATCTGGCTACAACTAGTTCTTATCTCTCAGCAGAAACTACACATGAACCCCTTCAGTGAAATATTGAGAAGATGGTTTGACATGGGGGCCATATGTCTATCTAGGCATGTCTATGTCATATTCCTTCCAAAGAATTTCTGAGGAGGATGAGGCACCATTCTTCTAAAGTTTAATAGTATCATCCAGTTGGGTTGGATGGGATCATCCTTATGCAAACTAAGAATCTATAGCAGTGCGGGATGGCAGGGGCTCCCCGGGAATGGGGCCAAGAGCTGGGAGAGCAATGGCTTCTGACTTCACCCCGGGGCAGGGGAGCATTTTAGTTCAAATTGTTGCACTACACAACTCAAATACTGATACCTAACATCCCTAGTACACACACAAGTCTGGGACAATAGGGTAATTTTACTGCATGTCTTAAAAGTCGTCAGATTTCAGGCTTGGGTGAAACAACATGGAAGTGAACTTGTAAAACATCCTGCTGCCAGCCCCGTCAGTTATGCAAGACAATTATTAGTCAAAGAGAATTGCCAAGATAACAGCCAAGATAAGAAGCAGTATCTGTAATAGAATTCAAGCTCATTTAGGCCTTCGTATGTCAAAACAAATGCACAGTTCTACAGTTTATGGCCAGAAGGGACTGCAAGATTATCTGGCCTGAGCTATGTATTAGGTCAGCAAAACCACCCAGTCTCTGCACATTAAACCCAGCAATACAAATGAGACCAAAGTAAATTAGACCTACTACAAAGTAAATTAGGGAGATTCCCAAATCTGCACCGTCCTTTGTGGGTGATGAATCTGAGGAACTGTCCTGGATTGAAGTGTCATTTGAGGAGGTTTTGAACAAATAGAAAAACTTAATGTTAACAGATCTCCGGGACCAGATGGCATTCATGCAAAGGTTCTAAAAGAACTCAAATGGGAAATTGCTGAACTATTATCTGTGGTTTGTAACCTTTCCTTTAAATCGGCTTCCGTACCTAATGACTAGAAGGTAGCCAACGTGACACCAATATTTAAAAAGGGCTCTAGAGGCGATCCTGGCAGTTACAGACCGGTAAGTCTAACTTCAGTACTGGGCAATTTAGTCGAAACAATAGTGAAGAATAAAATTGTGAATCATGTAGAAGAACATAATTTGTTGGACAAAAGTCAACATGGTTTCTGTAAAGGGAAATCCTGTTTTACTAATCTATTAGAGTTCTTTGAAGGGGTTAACAAACATGCAGACAAGGGGGATCCAGTAGATATAGTA